GAGAGGGCAGGCGGTCAGTGTGACTGCAAAGGCGCTCTCTCAGCAGAGCTGTGGGTACCATTCCCACTGGGATAAATTCCGGGAGGATCATAGATGCCTGGCTGGCAGGGGTTCAGACGCCGTTCCAGCAGGTCCTGTTGTCATTGCTTCTCTTCTCAGATTGTGAAATATAACACATGCACAGCAAAGAACAATAAATATTATAAAGCAAAGTCCTGTGTGACTACTCCCCAGGTCAAGAAAGAACATTACAGTGTCCCAGAGCCCCTGTGCCTCCCCCTCCACAATCCCCTCTCCCCTCAGAGGTACCATCTGATTTTAGGGTCATTGCTTCCTGGCATATTTTTATAGTTTTACCTTTAGTACTTTAGAGCCCCTAAATGTACAGGTGAGTCTTGCCTGTGTTTGAACTTCATGTAATCAGAATGAAACTGTGTGTAGTATTCAGACACTTTTTCTCTCACTCCACTTTATGTTTTTTAAGATGTATCCAGTTGACAGTGTGGCTGAAGTTGGTTTATGGTCACACTCCATGGCCCAGGGGCTAAATCCAGCCCACTGCCTTTTTGTATGGCCTTTGAGTTATGAATGGTTTTTATATTTTTTAAAGGTTGGGAAAAAAATAATATTTCACAATACATGAAAATTATACAATATCCATGTATTTCCGTGTCCATAAATAAAGTTTTATTGGAACAGAACCCCACTTACTCGTTCACAGATCATCTCTGACTGCTGTCACCCTATAGCAGCAGAGTGGAGCAGCTTGGGCAGGCGGTCAGTGTGACTGCAAAGGCGCTCTCTCAGCAGAGCTGTGGGTACCATTCCCACTGGGATAAATTCCGGGAGGATCATAGATGCCTGGCTGGCAGGGGTTCAGACGCCGTTCCAGCAGGTCCTGTTGTCATTGCTTCTCTTCTCAGATTGTGAAATATAACACATGCACAGCAAAGAACAATAAATATTATAAAGCAAAGTCCTGTGTGACTACTCCCCAGGTCAAGAAAGAACATTACAGTGTCCCAGAGCCCCTGTGCCTCCCCCGCCACAAGCCCCTCTCCCCTCAGAGGTACCAGCTGATTTTAGGGTCATTGCTTCCTGGCATATTTTTATAGTTTTACCTTTAGTACTTTAGAGCCCCTAAATGTACAGGTGAGTCTTGCCTGTGTTTGAACTTCATGTAATCAGAATGAAACTGTGTAGTATTCAGACACTTTTTCTCTCACTCCACTTTATGTTTTTTAAGATGTATCCAGTTGACAGTGTGGCTGAAGTTGGTTTATGGTCACACTCCATGGCCCAGAGGCTAAATCCAGCCCACTGCCTTTTTGTATGGCCTTTGAGTTATGAATGGTTTTTATATTTTTTAAAGGTTGGGAAAAAAATAATATTTCACAATACATGAAAATTATACAATATCCATGTATTTCCGTGTCCATAAATAAAGTTTTATTGGAACAGAACCCCACTTACTCGTTCACAGATCATCTCTGACTGCTGTCACCCTATAGCAGCAGAGTGGAGCAGCTGTGATAAGGACCATATGGCCCTCAAAGCGTTAAGATATTTACTACCTGGCCCTTTACGGAACACATTTGTCAAGCGCTGCCATAGAGTGTCCTCTGAATGAATACACTGCAGCTTACTTAGTTATGGTGGACGCATTGGGCTTCTTGTATGTGCTGTGAACACTTGCATGAGGGCTCCAGGCACACATGTGTGCACTGCCCCCAGGGGCCATGTTCCCACTGAGGCTGTTTCTCTCTCTGCTGTCCGCCTGGTGTGGACTGAGCTTCCAGAAAGCTGGAAATGTGCAGACTCACTTGGCTCTGAGTCTGTGACTCCCACCCCGGTGCCTGGCCCCCAGGGCAAGCCCAGGAAAAACCATAACCGTGGATTCTACAACTCAGCCGCAGCCAACAGAGCAGGAGTTGCGAGCGGGGTGATGGGCTGCCACCAGGAGCCCGGGGTGGGTGTTGGTGTGAGGTGGAGCTGGGGTGAGCCCCCTGCCCTCCCTGGGCCTGGGCGCCTCTTAACACAGGTGGGGCAACAGGCCCTCTGGTCTTGTTAATTGGGTGGTTCTCGGTGCTGTGGGCCGGGGAACGGGACTGACCCTCCACTGGCTCCTCTGACCTCTGTTGCTTCCTGCTTAGTGTGGGTGTGGGTGAGGCCTCACCTAGTGGGAGAGCGGGCATCAGGCCCTGGGGTGGGGGCTGAAACCAGAAGAAGGAAAGGGGTGGGAGTAGATGTGAAATTAGCAGGCAGGCTCCTGGCCGCCTGGCTCAGACAGTCTGACCTGCCTGGGTTTGAGTCCTGGGAGACTTTGGCCAAATCACCTGACCACCCTGAGCCCCCACCTGCCTGTCATGGCACTCAGCATCCTCCTGTTGTCAGCAACCAGGGAGGCATGTCCAGGGCCATCAATGGGCCCAGGGTCTGCACTTGGGACCCCTCAGAGAGGGTCTTTGGGCATCGACCATGGAGATAGGGTGCCTGCAAGAGGCAGGGTGGTGGGCCTGGCAGGTATCTGCTCCCCTCCCTCCCCGCACTGCGAGTACAGCCCTAGGGCTTGGCCAGGGACAGCTTCCTGTCAGGCAGCCCATCCTCATTCAGGGAGGCATTCCCTGTGCTGGTCACAGGGTCCAAGGGCACATTCCCAAAGGCCACTTGGCCACACATATCAGAATCTAAAATGTGCATAGTCTTTGAATCAGCAACTCCCCTTTCTCAGACCTTGTCTTAAGGAGCTAGGGGACCAGGAAATGACGACCCATGCATCCTGCACGTACGAGATGATCCCTGATGGGCCTCGCTGCTGTCACTGGAACCCCGGCCATGGTGCACTTAGATAAGACCTTCCCCATTAGTCTGAGCTGCCCTTCCCTTCCAGACTCCTGCCCCAACTCCCACACCCAACTTCTGATCCATGCTGGATGACTCTCCGCCCCTGGGCCTTCGCTCCTGGAAAGTGCCCTCTCGCTTGCCCACCGGGACTCCTATTGATTGGGAAGGTCAGACTCTACCCTGAGTATTCACTGGCATTCTGAGCATCAGGAAGGAGCTCAGAGGTATGGGGGGCATGACTGAACTCACCTGGGCAGGTGAGGGTGTGGAGAGGGCCAGGGAACAAGCACCAACCTTAACAGGTGAGCTGTGTAATAAGGAAGTCCAGAGAAAGGGCAAAGAGAAGGTCCGGGCTGGTGGAGTACTACGGGGAGAAGGGAAGTTCAAAGACAGAGGTACCTGCAGGGTCAGGGTCCAGGCCAGAAACAGCAGGAGCTGCAGCTCAGCCCCTGGGGTCTTTGCTGACCTCCTCCGGCAGTGGGAGGCAGGCAGCAGGCAGCGGGGTGAAGGCAGGGATGGGGCAGCTCGGAGGGTGTGGAAGGGGAGGGTGGGGATGGAGGGCAGTGAGTGACTTTGTGCCCTGAGGATACAGGATCTTTGGGGAGGCAGAGATTTAAGAGAATTCATGATAAAAGTGATCTGGTGAAGGCGTCTATGAAGGAGTTAGCATGTTGACAGCCAGAAGCATTTATGTTTAAAAAGGCGGTTGCGGGGTGGGGTGGACCGAATCCCTCAGAATGAATCACTCATGTGAGGGGTTTAGGCAGCTGGGGAAGACTGTTTGAAACTGTGCAGCAGTTTTCTTGTTATCTTTCTAACATGAAATGTGATCACGTTAATTCCCAATTTAGAAGCCCGCGGAGGCCCCCTCAGGGTTTCCAGGAAGGCCTTCTGTCCCCCCCTCCCCACCCCTTGCCCCCCACCAACCATTTCAACTCCACCACAGCTCTTGAGTCCCCCAACTACCAACCAGTGTCCTGTTTCAAGTCTTCTAGAAGCTTCACCTGAGAGCTTTCTTGTGCTTAAACCCCCCTCTGTGTGCCCCTCCCCTGCCTGGCTGCCTCCCACTCTGCCTTCAGAGTTCAGCCTGGTAAAGAGATGGGGGAGATCAAAGTGTTCACAGCTGTGATGTCGGGGTGGCAGAACTGCAGACAAGTCCACCGTTCTTCTTGATCCTTTGCTGTGGGGCCTGCAATATCTACAGTGGGCATGCTTCACTTTTATAATGGCGGGGGACTGAAGAATCACCAGCAAGGACCCAGCCCATGGGGTGCTTCTCCAGGAGCCTCCCCACTCCCAGCTGGGTTGGGTCCTCTCTCTGGGTCTCGCAGCCCTGAGCCTTCCTTTTATCCTACCACTTTCCTGCTTCATCGGTTAGCTCCCTTCCCAGAGGCAGGGCCCAGCTCTGCCTGGCATGGCTTTGGGTGGGCGCACATTCCAGGGGGCACCCACCCAGCTCCGTTTCTCACACCCCCATTCTGAGACAAGGAGCAGAACTCCACCCCACCTCTTTGGCCCTATCACCACCTCCATGCCATCCTGATGCTCTAGTTTGAGGGCACAGGGAGGCATAAAGGGAGAAACGGAGTCCCCTGCTGCCCCCGGCCACACCCTCAAAGGAGGTCTAAAGTCTGAGCAACTTGCCATTCGAAACAGACCAAAGGGGATGTGAGTGCTCTAAAAATACCAGTTAACACCCACGAAGCTTACACATTTCTGGGGCCAAACGCCTGACATTCTGCACTTGGTCTGAGTCCAAGCATGGACTCTGTGCCCCTGGGATCCAGAGTCTGTAGGCATTAGAAGGGGAAGCAGGCAGGCTGTGGAAATGGCCCCCAGGCCTGCCACATCCATATGCATCTTTGTAATTTGGAGGTGTTGAAAGATGTGACAGCCAGTCTGATGGCAGTGTTCCGAGGGCATCAGTGCTAAAAGCTTCATAATACACACTCTCTGTTCAAATGTTGCTTTCCAGCGCCTGCTACACCCTTCTCCCTAATCAGCCACTTGGCCACGCGCTGCTATGTTTGATGCATGTGTCCTGAAGGACTCACCGGATTTTCTGCAGCAACCTGGGATGCATGTTCGGGCAAATGGCCAGAGCCCTGTGATAAAATCAGCAGCCCTTCAGACTGGCCCTTAAAAAGGTAGGCCTGGCTCTGGGAGATGCCGGTTAAATTGGAGGGCAAAACTCCATGCCTAAAATAAAGACCGTGGGAACTGCTTTCTTCTGTAGCCGGGGAATCAAAGTAATTTTCTTTAAAATCGACCCAAGTTGGAGTGGATGCCTTTGATCAGCCTGTCTGGGCTCTCACACCCTTGGCTGATGCTTGGTGCCCTAGAGAGATTGAGTTCCAGGCAGAGGGGAAGCTGCAGCCAAGGCCTGTCCCAGCAGCTGGTGGGTGAGGTGGACCAGGGAGCCCTGGCAACTGGAGAGAGTCGGGAGAGAGGGAGGGAGCGTGGGGAAGATGCCAGATTCTGGGGGTGGGGGCTTGTCATTGCTGCAGTAAGGGAGGGATGCTGGCTGGCCCTCTTTGGACACTGGCTGTGCCTGCCTCAGGACCACAGCCTGGGAAGAGGAAGGGCACAGGAGGGCATTCTGAGTGGTGGGAGTAGCATGGGCAAAGCTCAGGAGCCTGGCAGGTCCTGGGGGAGTGAGTCAGGGCTGGAAGGCAGCTGAGCCAGGCCGGTGCGCAGGGCCCAGAGACCAGAATGGACCCTCCAGGCCAGGCGCTAGCTGCATTTTTTTTTGTGACGGTGGTGAGTTAAGGGATGCACGCTATAGCTTGACCCTGTCTGAACCCAGTTGTCTGAATATAACTGAAGCCAGAAGGTCATAAACAGTGCCCTTACTGCGCACAAAATGCTCCATGTTCTGTCTGCTTTAACGGCTTGTCTTGACCCTGTAAATTGATCTCAGATTCCTTCCTGGGACTCCTCCAGTCGGGCACCGTGGCAGGGGCGGCAGGACGGCTTGTGGAGCCCTCGAGGGGGGCGGTGCCCCACAGGCCCTGGCTGGGGAGGAGAGGCTGGATTCTGGAGCTATCCATGCGGAAGGGGGGCGTCGTGCAGGGGGTGGGCACCTCCCACACAAGTCCCTTGGTTGCAAATCCCTCCCTCCAGGGACTCAGCATGGGGTCCTGGGTGGGGAGTGGAAGTGCGCTCTCCAGTCAGCTCTCAAATCCACAGTTCAAGCGGCCACAGATTCAAAAGAACTGGAAAGGAAGGATCAGACACCACCAGGTGGTAGACAGTCTTCCCCAACAAGGGCGACAGGCAGGATGGGGACAGACAGGAGGATGCTGCTCTAGGGAGGGTTCCCTGTGCTCAGAGCCCTGGCTCACAAATATCACATAGCGGGTAAGCCCCCAGGGGCAGGCCCGGGGTCTTCATCGAGGTGTTGCCTGCTCCCCGATGTCCAGGCCAGGCCAGGGCCCACAGGGGTAGACAGGCTTGGCCTGAGGAAGGGGGGCTGGCCCCTGGAGTCCCGGTACTCCTGAAGGCCCGTCGTGCTGTGTGTGCCCGCACTCTGGGCCTGTCACTTCCATGGGCTGCAGGGTCCAGCTGGCAATCACCTTTCCAGATTCACAGTGAGGCTTCAGGCCTCATCTGACTTCTTTACCTCCTTCTAGTCCCTGGAGAGAGGCAGCCCGGCCCTGTGGCAGCCTGCAAGTGTTCCTGGCCCCATTGATTCCGGGAGAACCTGTAAGGCTGGCATGTTCTTCTCCCTGTTGTGCAGGGGAGACACCAAGCTTCAGAGAAAGGAAGCCGCGTGCCCAGCATTGCTCAGCCTTTAAGGGGCAGAGCCAAGATCCAAACCCAGGTCTGCTTCCTCCAGAAACTGGGCTTTTCCCAGGCAACCCCAAGCCCCTTTCTGGCCAGGCTCCAGGCTTCCTAGCAGTCCCTGGAGCTGCTGAGAAGCCAGGGCCAGAGCACATGCCATCCCTGAAAACACCATCTCCTGCTGCAAAGGGTGGGCAGGGTCAGTGCTGCCAAGTGGAACCATCTGGGCCTGTGGTTGTGTGGGGAGGGGAGGGGAGGACCTGGAAATGCCTAATAAGCAACCTCAGGCAGGGCTGGGAGTGAGGCCCTTCCAGGCACCAGCCGCCATCCTCTCTGGCTGGCCTGCTCCCGGCTCCCCGGCCCCCTCATGCCCTCCCCACTCTGTGCCCCACTGTGCACGCACACAGGCTCCTACCTCTCCTGTCCAGAAAGCCTCCCCCGGACCCCACCTTCAAATCCTCCCGGCCTTCCAGCTCCCTCCTCCTTGTCCGCCTGCGCTGCAAACAGCAGTGAGCCTGGGCAGCTGGGGGTCGGGCCATCCTCACTCTCACCCCCCTGCCCACCGCCTCATCCCTGCCCCCACTCCAGGAGGCCCCTCCAGGCCCTTCTCTCCAGACACATCCTCCTGCCCTCTTGGAAGGGAAGGAATCCATCCCTCGGGCAGCAACCACCCGGCTTCCCTGCACTCGTCTCCTGCCTGTGCCAGCCCAGGGGGCACGCAGCCCCCGCCCCTGCCCGCAGGCCTCCTGGACAGTTATGTGCAGAGCCACTCTGTGTTGCTCCTGCGGCCTTGTCAGCCCTTTATACCTTTCAGTGTGGGGACACGCTCCCAGTGCCTGGAGGGGAAGCCAGGCCCGCCTGGGCTGTTCCCGGTCATGGGTCACAAAGGAATCCCAGCTGTTCACGTCTCCAACCCTTAAATCTCCGCCAAGATTCCGAACGTGATCGGGCTGAGGAGGCCATGTGGGGCCTGTGAGAGTCAGGAGTGAGGCTCTCTCCCTGCCTCCCCTCTCAGACTCCCTTTGGTCCTTAGCCCACGGTCAGCGGTTAGCAGGTGGAGACAGGCCGGGGAAGGAGCGGGAGGGGCAGAGAGGCCCTGCCATTCAGGTGTCACAGACCAGGGGCCCCGTGCTCGGGCCGCAGGGCTCGGACTGGCCTCCTTTGGTCACTTTCACGGGCCACTCAGCGGCGACCCCGCTCTGCCCTGGGAATCTGAGGTCCACCCCAGTCCTCCCAGGCCACCTGCCCCTGGAGCAGCCCGTGAGCACCCAGAGGATCTCCAGGCCGGCTCACCCTGGTCTAGCCTGCCCTGTCCCGTGGGGACACACTCTGTTAGCCCAAACACGGGACAAAGCGTAATGTAGCTGGCACTGGGCTCAAGATGAGCCCCAGCCACTGTGCCATCCCTGTGGCACTCAGGGGACATCAGTTCACTGATGACCCCCAGACCCCCAGGTCCCCAGCATGCTGCTCTCCCACCTCCCCACGTAGAGTTCACGGTTCCGTCCCCACCAGCTCCCTCTGCCTCCCTGTGAGACTGGGCATGTTGTCCAGGCCTTGGACGGGGCCTGTGACCTAACTGGAGGCCCTTCCATGTTAGAGGTGTAAGCAAATGGTAGCTGAAAAGAATTCATGCACCTGGAAATTACTCTGAGCCTGTCCCGAGCACTCTTAATGGGAGGATGCTCCGCAGCCAACAGGAGCAGCCTGCACCCCAAAAGGGCCTCTTAGAGGCACAGGTCAGGGAGGAGGTAGGAATGGTTCGGGCTCTGGGGTGCTGACACCCAGGGAAAAGAAGGGGCAGTGGGGGTAGTTAGCTATGCCTGCAGGCCCGCACCCTGCCGCCTTTGCCGAGGCTACAGGCCTCATCCTTGTGTCGGGCCCACTGCCTCCAGCTCGGCCGCCTTCCGACCGACAGACACTGCCTGTCTCCTCACTTAGGGAGATGGCAGTTTCACCCCAGGTCCGAGATTCTCCTCTCGGTGGCAGTCCTCAGCCAAGGCCATGCATTTTCATGACTTTAACTGTCTGACCTTAAAATAATGACTCTCGGAAGAATACAGAAAACAATCATCTGTTTCTACAAATCTCCCCAGAATTGTAAAGATCGACTTAATTGCATTGACAGATTCCATCATTTTCTAGGATTTCTCAAATGGGGAGAATTTTTTAAGACAATTACATGAATGTCTTCCAGCTGGGACAAACAGGAAGGTGCCCTCAGTGCTGACAGTGTGTCCAGCCTCCATGGGCCTGGAGTCGCCTCTTAGATGCACGGAGAAGAGGAGCAGGTGGCCCCAGGGGAAGTGGAGAGGCTGTCGTGCAGGCCCTGGTGTGGCTGCTCTCCTGGTGATTTTGGTCAGGTTCCAACCTCCTGGCCCCCAGAAACACTAGCTGAACGCAGCTTGGCCTGGCTTCCGGCAGGGTCACTGCCACACCAGATGGAAGGATGCCGCTGCAAGTCAGCAATGGGGCCCAAGCAGGGCAGGACGTGGGGGTTCCAGGCAGGGGGCACAGCAGAAGGGGGAACAGAGCCGGAGGTGGCCTGGGTGTGTGGGACAGATGGCAGCGTGGGCTTGCCAGGCAGGACGAGTGATGTCCATCTCACCCTGCTGACCTCTTGTCCTTTCCCCAGGACCCTGGGTGGTCGTGCAACATCCCCCTCCCCTGCCTCTACATCCCCACCCTGCCCCTGCCACATCTCAGACGTACCTCAGCCCTGAACCCCTGCTCTTTGCTTTATGACAAAACTAACGTGTTAGTTAAACAACACAGCGCTCACCCTGCAGTAGAACCTAGAGATATAAAGTGCGTGAACCCCTTCCTGCTTCACCCACTGGAGGGGAGCCCAGGGGCCAGCTCAGTGGGTTCTCCATGTGGGAGCACCTGCACACCAGGGACCTGTGACAGAGCCGATGCTGACACCCGGACACGCCAGCCCATTCCCCGGAACTGTTGTGCCTTTGGTTCTGTGGGGAAGGGGTGTCTCTCTAGTTGTTTGAAAGCAACCTCAAAATACCTGCATGGCTGCAGCTTGGAGGAACTGACAGGCGTGGAGGGCCATCGCTGTCCCTGCCTTCCAGGGGGCCTGGCCTCCCCTCCCTCAGCTCTGGGCTGAGCTGCAGCAGCCTGTGGAGGGACCAGCCTGGCCCCGCGCCACCAGCCCCACACTGCAGGCAGGGGGCCCATTTCTCCCCAACAAAATAAGTCTTGCTTCTCCCTCTGAGCGTCTCAGGCGCATGATCTTCTGCACATGAACAACCTGGCCAGCATGTTCCTGGCTGCTCACTGCTGACCTCAATTTAGAACTGTCTGTTTTTGGGCTGTGGGAGCAGGAAGGCACTGAGGGGGACAAAGCTGGCTGAAGTTGAGGGGCTTGTGCGGCTCGAGTCTGGGGCTGGGGAGGTGGCAGTGCCGACCTGGGCCCGGAACCTGACCAGCATCTCAGGAAGCTTCAGCAGGGCAGGAAGCCCAGCCAGCAGGCTGCTGCTCTGGGGGCTTCCAAACTGTCCAGCAGCCTCTGGGGAGGAGGGGAGGTGGGTGGACCAGGGAGGAGGTGGCGGCTCCCGTAGGACTGCCTTTGTGATACTCACGTGTGGAACATCAGGGCTGCGGCCCAAACGGCTACGTGTGGAACACCTCTGCATCGCTGGCAGCGGCTCTCAGGGCTTTGCTGGTTCGAGTCTATAGAAACTTGACAGACAAATTCTTCCAATCAGATTCAGGGAAAGGTCTGTCTCTGCTGCTGCCTGGCAGCCTGCCTTCAGGCTGGGAGGGCAGGACTGCCTTCCTCTGTGGGTCTGTGCCAGGTAGGGCTTCTTCCTGCCAGAAAGGGTTCCATCGTTTTATTTCCTGCCTCCTCCTCTTTACTTCAAATCCTTCACCAGCTCTGGGTCTTCTCAGGCCTGTGCTTTTATCTGACATGGCCTCTCAGCCTTTGGGAAGGAGAGTGTTGCGAGTGCGGAGTCTGGAGTCTCCCAGCCCTGGGTGGGGCTGTAGCTGCACTTGATAGCTGGCAGCTTGACCTCCCTGACCCTCAGGCTCTTCCTCTCTGTCTTGGCATGTTGGGAGTGGTAGAGCAGTCCATGTAAAGCACTTGGCATGGCCCCTGCACAGTGAGTAATGGGAGGTGTGCGTGGGAGCCACACACCCCGCGGGAAGCCAGTGGAATGGAAGCCGCCTGGAGAGTAAGCTGCCATTCTCTGCTTTTCCTTCCCTGCAGGAGGGCAGTTGGTCACCCACACTGGCCCCCCCATTTTGGTCTCTCTGGCCAACCAGACTGTTAACTTCAACTGCACAATCACCTATAAGTACACCCGGGAGTTCGAGGCCTTCAGGGTCAGCTACTTCCACGTGGACCTCCAGGGCCGGGAGAGCTCCGAGAAGCAGACTGACTGCCAATCTGGCTCCGGCAAAGAGAACATGACCTACTCCATCATGTGCCCCATCTCCCCAAAGCTGCCCGATGCAGCAGCCACAGGCACCTACTACTGCTCCATCCAGCGGCCCCAGGCCAGACTGCGGGGCAGTGGCACCTTCATCCTGGTCAGAGGTGGGGCTTCCCAGGGCAAAGGGCCCAGCGGCTTCATGCAGCAGAGTTTGGGGTACAGGACCTAGAGCGGGGGATGTTCGCCTCAGCTTTCAGCTTTGGCAGAATAGAACAGAGTACACAGAACCACGCAAGTGTGCTGAGATGCCTGCATTCATGTGGGAAGGGCAGAGGCCTGGGATGTGGACATACCTCTGGCCACCTCTGGCAGGTGACCTGAGCGAGGGTTTCCATGTCCCTTCAGCACAGCTCGGGGACTGGGTGAGTGCAGAATCAGGCATGAGCATGTGTGCGTCTGTGGTGGCCTGTGAGCGAGCGTTCGGCTCAGTACATCTTCCTGGGGGCAGATTGCTAGCTCTCGCCACATACTCAGCAGAGTGTCCACCCGGAAAAGTCAAGAACAGCGCATCACTGGAAGCCACAGTTCTCTGGCCTGTCCCTGCAATGCGCTGGTAGGGGCCAGGGCTTCAGTACCCCACAGACCTGGGTGTGGACCTCAGTTCTGGTGCCTGTCAGGATGTGACCTTGGGCCTGGTCTTCAGGCTCTCTGGTGATGAATGAGGCCCTGCATGAGGGGGCTGGTGCCCGGTACCGGGAAGCGCTTGATAGATAACACACTGCCTGGCACGTGGTTGGCACTCCAAAATTTTTTGCCAGGCAGATGGATGGATGGGTTGGGTAGATGGATGGAGGGATGGAAGGAGGGAAGAATGAAAGGAAAGAAAGCTCAAGGGAAGGCGCTGGGCTATGCACTGCACCTACCCCGGGTGCAGGCCGGCTCCCCGCTGGGCCTGGGGCAGACAAGTCCCCTTCACCCTCACCGTACCTGCCATATGATCACCGTTTCACACGTAGGAAGCAGAAAGTCCCACCAGCGGCTCTTGGTGGGGCCAGCTCACTGAGGTGGGGGCACTGAAGAAACAAGAGATGTGACCCTTGCCCGTGACAGGAACTAAGGCAGCAAACACTGAAAGGGGCTTAACCAGAGCGAGTGGGAGCGGGGATCTTGGGGGTCCTCATGGGGCTTGCTGTAGGCGGGGTCCTGGGAATAGAAGAAATAGGAATTGGAGGTTGTGGGGTGAGGTGGGCCCTGGCCTCGCCCAGGTAACTGACCCCCATGCTTCCCTGCCCTCCTCTAGACTCGGGGTACCGAGAGCCCCCACAGCGCCCTGGGAAGCTCCTGCTCTTTTGCTTCGCTGGCCTCCTGAGTGTCTTGAGCGTCCTGGCCACAGCTCTGCTGCTCTGGAAGAAGGTAGGGGATGCTCGTGCACAGCGTGTGCCCCTGGGTTCCATGCATGCCCAGCACATTGTGGGCGCTCAGGAAATGATCAAGTGAAGGAATGCAGTGTGCAGTGGGCACCAGGCTCTGCCAGCCCTGGGGTGCAAAGATGGCCGTCAGGGCTCCAGGCTGTGGTTTGGAACTTCTGTTCCGGCTCCTTGAGGGCGACCGTCAGGGTGGCTCAGGACACTGCTCCATCCTCTGGGGACCAAGAGCTTCTCTGCTGCCTGCTGGCCACTCAGCCAGTGAAACCCTGGCATGGGGAGAGGGCTCTGGCACCACCGCGGGGGCTCCCTTGGTCAGGGAAGGCTAAGCGTCTGCACCCACAAGGCCGGACTCTGTCCATACCCAGGGAAAGACTCCTTAGACGGGAATTCATGTGCTTGTCCATTCAACAAGTATTTACTGAGCACCTACTCAATTCCAGGCCCTCTTTAGGCCCTAGAGATACAGCAGTGACCAAAATGGACCCCCAAGAAGTCCCGGTTCTTATCAAATTTGTATTCCAGCCGAGGGGAGACAGACTAAAAACAAACATAAATTAGTAAAGCGACTGTTAGGGAAACACAGCAAAATGAAGAGGCTATGCGTGTGGGAAGGAGGGCACTGGCTGTTTTAGATAAAGGGTCCTGAAGGGCCCCCCCATGCTGCCCTTGGAAGGAAGGGAGGTGGGCAGGCATGGGGAAGAGTGTCAGCAGGGGACCAGCAGGCACAGGTGCTCCGAGGCAGGAGACTGCTGCCAGCGTTGCAGGGGCTGCAGGGAGGCCCTGTGGGTCGCATAGACTGAGTGCAGGGAGCAGGGGAGGGTGGTGGTGCGGTGAGGCCAGGTGAGGGCACTGATATGGACCCTTGGGCTGCTGTGACAAGGAGCTGGGCAAGGGAGGCTCCGGAGGAGCTACTGCAACAGTCCAGGCACAGGCAGCTGGGACCAGGGTAGCCTCAGGGGAAGTGGCTGCGTAAAGGCTGAAGGTGGAGCGGGCAGGACTGGCTGATGAGGAGACCCACAGTCAGCTGGAGGCCACGGCCTCCAGGGCTGCTGTGCTCCCTGGAGGGGAAGGACAGAGCTGGACACCGAGATCAGGGCCTGCCTGGGCGTATCGCCCACCGACAGCTGTGGGATGGAAGAACAGCAGCCCAAGGATGAAGGGGGAGGACTTGCCTGAGCCACACAGCCAGCATGTGGCAGGCCTGGGACTCGAACACAGGCTTCAGTTTCCCATCGGTGCCTCAAGGTTGGAGATGTAATCACTCTCCCAGTGGGCATGGCTGTTTGCTCAGCCACAAACCCCTGGAGGCTGCCTTCCCTGCCTTCTGCAAGTCAGAGCCTGCCTCCAGTTCCTCTCTTGTCCTGCGGCTCCCTTGGGATGCCACAGACGTGGGGCCCGACCCTGGCAGGGCCCGCTCTAGACACAGCGCAGAGAGAGTCCGCCTCACGCCATCCTCCTGTGAGCTCTGCTGTGAGGTCCTGGGAGGGCCCTGCCACTCGGTGGCTCCTCGGCCCCGTGAGTCCCAGGATGAGGACAGAGGCCTGCCTGCCACTGGGCCCACCTCCCCCGCCTCAACCAACACTGAGCACCTGTGCACCCGGCCTGGCCCTCACCCTCAGGACGGACATGTCCTCCCCCAGCCCTGCTGCCCACCCACCACGATGGCCTCAAGCGGGGAGACAGCTCTTGCCGGGCCTGCTGCCTGGTGAATGCCTGCCGAGCTTCCCAGAGGGGCAGTGTCTGACCAGGGGCTTCCAGCAGGAGAGACGAGGCACTTACACCGGGTGTGGTCCCCCACCCAGCCTCACGTGAGGGGCGGCACAAGTGGTTTCCATGGGCATGAAGCACAGCAGGAGAGCTCAGAGCCGGGCCAGGGTGAGATCGTGACCCTGAGCCCCCACTTCAGCTTTTGCTCTGCAGAAATGGGGTTGTGTTTACTGGATCTCAAGGTCCTATGAGGCCAGGGAGGCACCTGGCACAGCGTAGGTGCCCAGTAAGGTCTTGGGAGGAGAAGAGGAGAGGGCACGCTTCCGACTCAGCCTGACTCCCAAGCCCAGCTCCTCCCGCTGCTGGGGGGCCTACCTTCCGCCCTCCTCCCCATCTCACCCTCCCTCCTCTCCTTCTAGAAATAGCTGTTGAGAAGCTGGTATGTGCCAGGCACTGGGCTAAGTGCCAGACAGTGGAAAGCAAGACAGAGGCAGACCCTGCCCCTTGTCAAGTCTGGCCCTCCCTGAGCCTCAGTGTCCTCCGGATGTGAGAGTAAGAGTAGATGTGCCTCCCTGGGAAAGGGTGAAAGAAACAGCATTTTCGAAGCATGAGCTGGGTGCCCCACCCAGAGTCAGAGAGTGTGCACAGGTGCTTCCCACGTCCTTCCCTGCACTTGGGGAGGAAGGGCCGGGATGAGAGCCCGGCCTTGAAGGAGACAGAACTCGGAAAGCCAGAGCCACTGCTGGGATCGTGTTGTCACAAAGTCTCCAGAGCTCCCCGGAGCTGTATCCAAAGGGTCGGCTGCTTGCAGTGGCCCAGCCTGTCTGAGGCCAGCTCAGGTTGAACCATGAGAGTGTAGCTGGAGACCAGGCCAGGCAGCTGGCATGGAGGCCAAGAGGACAGGGCCGAGTAAGAGGAGGCATGGAGGGCCCCAGGGGCACAGGTGGCTGTGGGTCCGAAAGAGGCAGAGGATTTCTGCCATGGGAACTGGTTCAAGGGCTCCCATCCAGTTCGGGCTCAAGGTTGACTTCCCAGAGCAGGCAGCCTCTGATGTGATTGGTCCCCATCATCTCGGGGCCTCTCCCCGAGCAAATCTCCCTCCCCCACAGCTCATTCCCTCCCTTGATTCCAGAACCCAGGCAGCTCTGTGCTAGGTCACCTCATCTTCCTCATGGCCTCTGAGCACCGGCCCATCCTGAGCCCTTCCCCCCCATCTGTCTATACTCCCTGGTTATGGCTCCACTCCCGGGTTATAGTCCCCTCCCCTGGCGCTGCCCCCAGGCCCCGTCCAGTGCGTGGGGCCTACCTTGTCCAGAGCAGCCCTCCTAGCACCCCTGTTGGCCCCACCCGCCCCATGGCGCCGTGCCCCGGATGCTCAGGTCGAGAGCCTTACAGCGGTGCCTGCCTCCTCGCTACCCCAGTGAGACCCACGCACAGTCTGTCCGGGGTCCACCCCCTTCCCTGTCCTCCAGCCCCCAGCCCGGGCCTTCATCGCCCTTTGCCTGGAATACAGGCCTCCTGTCTTCCATGACCCACGGCCCCTGCTCTTTGAAGGAATGCAGAGCAAGCTAGTGCTTGGACCTGGAAGATGAGTCAGAGGCGACCAGGCCTGTGAGGTGACAGGCAGCAGCAGGGCTCCCACGTCACAGAGGGGAACCGAGGTTTTGCGGGCCTCCTGGGTGGCTGACGGCCACATGGCCCGGGTCATTCATTTGAAAACCACACTTGGAAGGGCTGATGTTGATGGTCTGGGAAAGGGCCCCTGGATGGGGCAAGGCTGGATCCAGGAGGCGGATAGTCCCCACCCCATAACAAAGTATGCCCTTCCGGCTTTCCAAGGAGGCCCCTCTTGCCCCACGGGAGCCCGGCCACAGCCCAGGCCTCCTTATTGCACCCTGGAAGTCCTGCCCCTCCTGCAGACCCTGTGCCTGGTCCCCTTACCTCCCAACTCGAGCCGTCTCACTGTGGCTGTGAGAGAGCCATATAAAATGCCCATGTGACCGGATTTGACCTGTGCCTGCCCTGGCAGCTCCCTCCTCTCCTCCAAGTACAGACCTCCTGCATGGCCCTGCCCACACTGCCCAGCTCATCCCCTTTCATTTTGCTTCCACGTGGCTGCTTTCTGTCTGACAATCCCTCCTTCTGCGTCGCCCCGGCCCATCGTGACGGCTCTGCCCACATGCCCCTCTGCATGCTGCCCCGCAGTCCGGGACAGACTCCCGCACTACTCTCCTCTCTTCAGGAGGCAGCGCAAACTCTGAGAAGCCTGCTCCAGCCCCTGGCCGACTTAGGTCTCTTCCCACAGCCCTGCAGCGGCACCTACCTCCCTGATGCCCCCTCCCTGCAGTCACAGTGGGCAGCCTCGAGGCCAGGCATGGTTGTTGCTCACCAAGGAGCCCTATCCCCAGCCCTGACAGTGTTCAGGCTGACGGCTCAGTGAAGGGAGAGGCACCAGCCCCTGGCTGTCTTGAGGTGACTGTAGGAACAAGTCCCCAGGGGTACTGTACAGTGCCCCAGAGGTGCCAGCACCGATCTCTGAAACCTATGCATTTAAGCAAAGCAGAGTTGTGAAAACCCCAGTACTGCCAGGTTAGCATCTTGGTGACTCACACAGATCTGGGTTCAAATCGTGCCCTGGCCACCTTGGACTCTGTGGCCGCAGGCAGATCACCTGCCTTCACATCCTCCTGCATGGGATGGAGGTGACATGAACACTTGTCCCGCAGGGTTGCTGAGCGGTGTGTGGGATAGCAGGTCATGTGTTTTGAGCCCCACGGTGGGGCTGCACCACCCTGAGCCACAAGAGGCTGTGCCTGAGGGTGGCGCTGGCTTCTGCCTGGGAGGTTAAGTGGCTCTGGAGAGCGAATCCCGGTGCACAGGCTGGGAATTGGCGGGCGGCCAGGGTTTTTAATTAGCTCCCGCCCCGAGATGAGGCTGTTGTTGCTCCACTGCTGGTGGTGCGGCACCTGCGACGAGGGAGACATCCAGGCAGCCTCCCTGTGCCTCAGAAGGGGCTGACTGCACCAGGCCCTGCGCCTCCCCACAGGCCCCCGGCCCCCACGCCCACGTCCCCATCAGTGCTTCATGCAGCCGCTGCAGAAGCTTTCCCAAACTGCTTTCCCATTAAAGCCTCAGGTGTTTCTCACCGTCTGCATTCTTCACGCAGCCTGCACGGCTGTCCGACCACCCCGGGCAGGTTCCCGCCTCTCAGGCCACACTGACCACCTCTAAGCTCCTGGAGACCTGCAGGCCTTAGCACGGCTGCTCCAGCACACCCCCTCTCTGGCCAAATGAACTTCTCTGCCTTCAGGCCTTAAGCATCCCTTCCTGCCGGGCGGGGTTGGTTCCCTCCCAGTGTGCCAAAGGCTCTGTTGCTGTGGGCAGCACATGGACCTCGCCTGGGGAAACTGCTGGCTTGTTGTCTGTCTCCTCTCCCGGTCCTAAGCTCCAAGGAGGCAGGCACGGTGTCCACCTCTTCACACCACCTGGCTAACAACAGGTGCCTGACAGATCTAGGTGGGTGGGCCAAGGGCTCCCTAAGTGCCACCTGAGTGCCATCACCTCCCTAAGTCCTTGGAACAGTTTCCCAAAGGAGGGTTCTTGCTGAAGAAATCAAGGCCCAGAGAGGGCAAGTGGTCTGTGTGAGCCCACTGAGCCAGCAAGGGGCAGACGACTGGACACCTGGTCTCGCTCAGGACCACCCACAGCAGTCAGCTGCTTAGCCAGGGGCCCTGTCTCACTGTGCCCTGCAGTGCCTGCCTCTCCTGTGCCAGGCACTGTGTCTATGGGCAATGCCCTGTTGGGGGTCGTTCTCATTGCTGGTACCTCCAGACCTGTGAGTGACTTAATACAAATCTCAGAGGCATTTGCCCCGTTTACCCGGGGGAGTGGAAGGTGCTGTGTGATCAGTGTCTGTGTGGCCCCATGACACTGCCATCCTTTCCCTGGGGGTGTCTGTGCAGGGGTGGCAGGGGGAGATGGGGGAGCTGCCTGTCCCAGCCCCAGCCACCCTGACTCCTTTCCTCGCAGAAGCAGATGCAGGTGCCACGGACACACCCCGCCCAGAAGTGCCTGAACCCCAGCCCTGCCAGCAGCCCTCAGAGGCCCCCGGCTGAATCCATCTACACGGTGAGTCCTGGGGCGCCGGCCCTCTCCACCTCCCCTAAGCCTGGTACAGGGTCTGCCTCCCTGAGTGGCCATGAATTGGCTGTGTGGCCACTCTGAGCCTCCAGTTCCGCATCTGTAAACTGGAGACAAGAATTCCTACCTGGGGGACTCTCTATGAAGTGAACTGAGATTGCACACTTGTGGCCCTGGCCCCTGGTGGGCACGTAGCTGCAAGGTGCTGCCGGCTTCCCCTCGTTGGTGTCCCTCCACTTCTGGAGTAGCAAGGGCCTGAGTTGGTGAGGAATGAAGAAAGTTCCTCCATCCGACACAACGCCTCAACCAGCTTACCAGCTCCTCCGTTCCACTTGCGCAAGTATCACAGCAGCAACACTGCAGGAAGAGGAAAAGGTCAGGCGCCGTCCCACGCCCTTAGCACAGCCGCAGGTCGGGATGCTGTTTGTTCTGCATAAGCATTTCCATCACTGCCACGGTCTTCATAATTACCTGGGGAGAGACTCAGCCTCACCCAGGCCACCCACTGCCCAGCACGCGGCCACTCTGCCCAGGCACTGGGAAGGTGACAAGCATCTTTGTTCAGTTACATCTAGTTCCACAGGTATCATGTGTTCACTGTAGAGAAAGTGAAGACTAAATGCCACCCAGTGTCATCTGGGATCTCAACTCTGAAAGACCTAGAGCCACCAGGTTGGGTCTTGGCTCCATGCCTGGGAGGGGCTGCCTCTTGCACTAGATTCTGCCTTTATGCGCCGTCCCTGTGCCGTGCCCACCACCCTGAATCACACGTGAAACTCAGGTCCTTCCTCAGTCCCCACAAAACCCCCCACAGAGGGCAGTCAGAATATGGTCCTGCTTACTGAGGATGGGCAGATGGGCAAGATGCAAAGGAGATGTCTCTGCAGGGCACAGCCAACGGTTCCAGATGGAATATAACCTGGCCAGCTTTCAAAGGCCTTCAGTCCCTCCACCCGAGGGAATTTCCACCAGCCACTGCTTTCCATACGGCCCTAGACTTCCCCATATTCTCTCTTCTCTCCCAGCAACTCATCTTGGTATTTTCCCTGAGTTCTGGTGTCAGCTGTTAAATAAAAACATTTCTGTCTCTCTACACACACACACACACACACACACACACACACACATGGTATTTTTATATATGTATATATCAAAAAAGAAAATAACCACCATCCTAAGCCTATCTTTTTCCAGGGTAAATACTAGTAACATTGACTTCCATACCTTCCAGTTTTTTCTCTATAAATATATACGAAGAGACCCATAAACACACTCACACATACTTTTTTTAATTGGAGTAGCACAGCTATTTTTGTTCATGTTACAGTATCTCATTAACATCCTTCCACATGGATAAATATCCTGCTATGAGATTATTTTTAATAGAAGAGACTCACTTTTGCATATAACATCCTTCTCCTTCTCGCCCATGTTTAGACTTGTCTGAGGCTCAGGCAGGCTTCTCTGGAGTGTGGGAAGAGACCCAACTGCCCCGCAGGGTTGCAGGGTGGCTCCAAAAGTTTTGGAGCCAGAAAGGAGCCAGAAAGGAGATGTGAAATGAAGCCACAGACTGCTAGCCCTTGAGACCAACCCATACCCACTGGAGTTGGACCTGGGCACATAAGAATGACATTAAAGACAGTGATGATGGTATCAGGAGCCATTTGCTGAGTACCTACTATGTGCCAGGCACTGTGGTAGGATTTTACACCTTATTATCTCATTAATCCTCAGGGCTTTAGGTTGCAGGTGTTTCCCCATTTGAGCTTCATTTTCTAAGTGTCCATTGCTGGTATGTAGAAATACGGTTGATTTTTTGTATATTGACTTTATATAGAGTGACCTTGCTGAATTCACTCTTAATTCTAATAGTTTCTCTGTGAATTCCTTTGGATTTTCTATGACCCCAGTCATGTAATCTATGAATAATGGACATTTCATCTTCCTTCCCAATCCTCTTGCCTTTTATTTCTCTTTTTCTTGCTTTATTGCACTGCCTCAGACCTCCAGTATGATGGTGAGTAGAAGTGGTGACAGTGGGCATCCTTGTCTTGTTCCTAAACTCCAGGAAAGGATTTTTATATATTCTTCCTCTACTTTCTTTGGATGGATGCTTAGATCATTGATTTTCAATTCTTTCTTCTTTTCTAATTTATACCTAAGGCTATGAACTTCCCTTAAAGTATGGCTTTACCTGCATCCTACAGGTTTTAATATGTTGTATTTTTGTTATCTTTCAGTTCATATTTTCCATTGAGATTTCCTCCCTGCCCTATGAGTATTTAAAGTGTTTTGCTCAATTTTCAAGGTTTAGTTATTTTCTAGTTATCATTCTGTTTTTTCTCACTAATTCCACTGTGACCAGAGAATATGTTTGTATGATTTTAATCCTTTGAAGTCTTTGGAGACTTGCTTTATGGCTCAGCTTATATTCTGTGTGCACTTGAAGAACATTTGCATTGTGCATGGCAGAATGAGTATTCTATATGTCAATTAGGTCAAGTTTGTTGGGTCGTGTTAAAATATTCCACATCCTTTTTTTGTTTGTCAGATGTTAAGAGTAGTTAGAAATCTTCCCCTGTGATTGTAGATTTGTATATTTCTCCTTTTTATGTCAATTTTTGCTTTTTGTTCATATGGAAAAGTGCTCATGACATATTGTGACATGAAAAAAAGCTGTACTACTACAATTTCTTTTTTAAAAACTGACCTATTGAAAAACATGGATTTGGACTGGGTAAGACAGACTGGTGTCCAAAGCCTAGAGTCTTGGTTCCATAATCTGTAAAACAGGGCTAATGATACAATATTATATTTATAGCTTGCAAACATGCTATAATTTCTTCCATTTTATATTCCTTATCTTGAGTCCACATCCCCCTCCAGTGACCCCACCCTTCCTTCATAACTCATCATAATAAACTCTCTCTTCAGGTTTTCTCTCTCCTTTCCAACCCACTCAGTCAAGCTTTTTGCCCACCTCTGCACCAGAATCTTCCTTCTCAAGGTCTCTGTTGACCTCCACATCATTAAATCCACAGGTCCATTCCCGGTTCTCATCTGCCTGATGAATCACCAGCATATGATGCCATCAGGCTCTCTCCTCTTTGACATAATTTCTTCCTTTACTTCCAGAACGTTCCACTCTTTCCAGATTCCCCTGACTCACTGCCATGCCTTGTCCACCTCCTTCACTGATTCCTACTTAGGAACCAGGGGAAGCCTGCCCTCCAAACCACTGGAGTACAGTCCGAGGGCCCTTTCCTCTTGATCTTCGTTTCCTTCCCTGAGTGATCTGATTCAGCCTCGAGAGGCTGAGACCATCTACACTCCCAAATTTATATCTTGAGCCCTGACATCTCCTGTGAACACCAGAGCCAACTCTGTTTGGATGTCATTGGCTTCTTTCTCAGACCAAACTTCAATTCTTTACCTACCCAAGTGCCTCTTCTCACAGTCCTTCTCATCACAGTGAATGAGGGCCCCGTCCTTCCAGTTGCTTGGGCTAAACATTTTGAAGTTGTCCTTTCTTCTCCTTTTATCACTGCTCACATCTGACCTGTCAGCACATCTTATTTCAAAAAACCCACCCTGTCCAGAGTGACCCAGATCACAGTCTGTTCTGCTCAGAGCCCTTGGTGGGTTCAGGACCCCTGAAAGGCAGATGCCAAGCCTGGGTTAGATGTGCCATGGTTTTATTAGGGAAATAAAACTCACCTGGGAGAGGAAATGGGGATGCCTGCAGGGGCTGTCAGCTGAGCAGATCCGGTCCAGAGGGAAGGAAAGTGGGAAGGAGGGCCGAGAGGAAGTGCCAACTGCCACAGTCTGGGAAGGCTCAGCAAGGCCATTGGGAGCACCTGCGTCAGAGGGGTCCTGCGGGGGAAGGCTGTGATGACATCCCTGCCACTCTCCGCCATCAGCTGGGAGTAGCCCACGGGCACGTGGCCCCCATGCAGCGTGATGAGGGGTTTCCGCCCGGCGGCCATGCCCGCACAGGCATGCGCATTGGTTCTGCCTCTGCCCCGGTGTCCTTTCTGTAGCTGGCCACCAGCCACACCCTCCCTCCTCTGCTCAGATGGCACCTTTGAGGCGAGGCCTTTCCCTGACTCCCTTTTAAAATTTTAGTCTCCTTGCCCCATCCATGAGCTCAAACTCCTCATCTTCCCTCCCGTGTCTCTCTGTGGCCTTTGTGGCCACCTCTTGCTTTCATGACTGTGGTCTGTCTCACGCCCTCCCTGCCACCAGCCGGGTGCCCAGCACACAGTGGGTGCTCAGCAATCACCTGCTGTGTGGATGAGTGGAGGAATATTCTTACCCTCTGGATGCCTGGGGCCACATGGGGCTCCATCTGGGCACAGAGTGAATGCCTGCAGCAAAGGTGGGCATCAGCACTACGGTTACCCTTCCCTGAGCAGCATCTGGACGCACCTCTCAGCTCTGTCCCAGCCTCTGCCTGGCCCAGTGCCCTCTTTCTGTGCTCACTGCAGCAGAGGGACTTCCCACCTCCGATGCCATCGCTTCCCACTCAGAAACCTCCAGTGGCTCCCCGTCGCCAGCTCCAAGGCCTTCATTGGCTGGCTTATCCCAACTCTTGTCGCTGAGTGGCCCCTTCACAAGAGGTGCCAGGACCTGGACCTGGAGCAATGCAGCTCCTTTCTGAACAGCACCCCAGTCTTCCCCCATCTGCCCCTGGAGTGCGTTATGCAGATCTCTGCACACTGGTGCCCACAGGAGTATAGCTTTTGTGTTTCCTTGGTGACAGGTGGGGGTGAGTATTACAGGGGACTGATGTCCTGGACCCTTAAATTAGGTCTGGGGCCAGAATAGCTGACATCAGCTCTGGCTTCAGCCTGCCTGGAGGGAAGCCTTGGCACTGACTTCACACCTCTGCCAGGGCTGATGACCATTCGGGTGAGACCATTGCCCACTGGGCTCAGGAGGCAAAGGACTTGAGGGCCTGGGTCCCAGACAAACAGTCCCCACCCATTCCTGCCCCAGCCCAGCGAATAAAGTCCTGCACAGACAGCATAGACAGAGCATAACACAGCCCAGCCAGGCACAGAACAGGCCAGCAGCGCCCCACTGCCCAGTGCTGCCTAGGCCAGCTCCAGTGCAGAACGGCCCAGGGCCAACTCAGTCCCTGCCCGGCAGGCCCCAGCCCACTACAGCCCATTCAGAAAACTGGACAGCCTCGTCCCAGCAGGCACACCACACGGAAGAAAGTCCCCATCACCAAGGAAGGCCAGGAGGGCCTGGGTTCAGAGCCTCCGGGGATGTCCTGATGACAAGGCCACCCTGCATTTCACAGCCCAGTGATGCAGGTTGCACCCTGAATGCAAATGCTGCCCAGCAGGTCAGGACTTGTCAAAGGCTTCATTCAGCAGCTGCTAATTGGCAGCAACCTCTGCAGCCTGCCCTGTCCTCAGCCCCGCAGCTGCTTCTGCCCACAGCATGGCCATCTGCTGGTGTGGGTCAGAGCCCTGCAGAGCCCCGGGGCTGGATTCTGTTCTCTGGTTTGGAAATCCCCCGGCCTCGTTCCCCAGGCCAGTGGGAGCACATGGAGTGGGGGCAGGAGGCCTGAGTTCTAGTCTTGGCCCTGCCACTGAGGAGCTGTGACCTGAGACATCTCTGGGCCTTTCTGGCCCTGTGAGTCAGGCAGTCCATGTGAGCTAGACCTGAAGGAGAAAGGGCCATCTGTGGGACCCTGGATCTGCAACGCTGCCAAGGTGTCAGCAAGGAGGCCCTTTGCCCCCTTCTTTCTGTGACTGGAAATGTCCAGCTTGGAGGGGCTGTCAGGTCTGTGGAGATCCAGCTCTGGGTGGACAGAGGGTAGGGGCACAGAGCTGCTGGGCTTGCCAGTGGCGGCTGGTGCTCTGGGGCCACGAAGACCCCACAGGCAGACATTGGAAATTGCCTTCCACTAGAAATAGGGCTCCTCCTCAGGGTGGCCCTGTTCCCTTCCCTACTCAGAGGCAAGTTGGAAGCCCCTCTCCCAGGACCCACCGTCTTTATGACTCAGAAGCCCCTTGGGCTGGTCCCAAGAGCTGCCTTGCCATCCCTGTGTGTGATGCCCTTGAAATGAGGGTCTCCCAGGCATCAGTGGTTTATCGCACAAGGTTTCATGCCCCACTACCTCTCGGCGCCTCCCTCCCTTCTCCCCTCCCCGCCGCTCCTCCCTCCTCTTGCCTCGGAGCACCACCTGTCTCTCCAGCCTGCCTCGGCAACCCCTGCTTGCCTGTTGCCAGGGAAACCACCTCCTTGGCAACCAGCCGGCATCCATATGACATGTACACACAGGAAGGGAAGGATCCTGCCTCTTGCTTAGTCTGTTGGCGGCTCTGCTCAGACAACCCCAAGAAGCAGCTTCTGCCCCTCACATGGGCCCCTGGTGCCCAACAGGGCCTGAGGGTGGGTGCAGCTATCACTGCAGAGAGGGAAGGGAAGCATCCAACCTCCCTTGATGATCATTCGATTGATGATCATTCAACAGTTATTAAGTATTTATTATTTGCCAGATTCTGTGCTTGGCCTTTACGTGCAATTTAATCATGCACTGAGCCTGCAAGATAGATGTGATTATTCCCATTTTATAGATGAGGAAACTAAGGCACAGAAAGGTTCAGGGGTTGCCCAGAGCTGGCAGGTGTCAGAGCTGGGAGTTAAATCTTTTGCCATCTGATTACAAAGCCCCAGTTCTTTTTGTCATTCCTGGGGCCTCTGGTCAGCCTGCTCATAGCTGGGCCAAGATGAATGTGGCCCCAAGATGCATGGCCAGGTGAGCGAGGAGCCCCCTCATCATAGCCATTTGGTGCTGTCCACAGCTGGGTGGTCGGTGACCCAGAGACAAACCTGGCAGAGCTTGACGGGAGGGGATTGTGCCTGGGTTATCTGTGAGTACAGGCTGGGGTAGGGAGTCAGGGGAGACCTAGAGGGGTGGGTAGGTGAGACCCTCACTGGGGCAGGGCCTTTGGACCAGGGGAGTGAGGGCCAATGCCAGGAGGGCATCTTAGTGGAGCCGTGGCCACGGCCGTCCGCTGGGGGCTGCTGGCTCGCAGGTGCCTGGGGCCTAAGGACAGCCGGGGATCGTGGGCGTGGGCTGGGCCAGCTGGGTGGAGGCCCGGAGCTAGAACCCACTGGGCTGAGCACAGGCCTGTGCCAGAGCCCTGAGGAGGTGCGAGGGAAGTAGCGGGGTCACCGCGAGGGCTTGCCCTGCTCACGCAGGAAGGGGGTCTGGTGGCTCTGAGAGGGGGTGGCAGGTGCAGCCCTCTGACCGTGCACGGTGTGGCTGGGCGACGGCTCACAGGGCTCTGCCCTTCCCCTGGGCTCCCTCGGGCAGGCGTGGTCTGTAACAGGCATGGAAGCCCACCTGCTGGGACACGCACCCTGCCCCTCTTGTCCACCCTCCTCTGACCTTCACGCCATCTCCTGCAGGCCCTACAGCGCCGAGAGACGGAAGTCTACGCCTGCGTGGAGAACAAGGCCCCCAGCCCACCCACCACCCAGAGCCTCCTCTCCCAGGTATGCAGGGGCAGGGCAGCAGGCCTGGGGCCGCCGCTCCTTCCGTCTGACCCTCTCCTCATCTGTGAAATGAGGGCGGATAGGGCCACAGGAGGGAGGCACGTGCTGTTGAATCAGAGCCCCCTCCCAAGGCAGTGGGCCTAGTGGTGAGGAAGACCGATGGGCTTGAAGCCCCTCCCCATCCCATACCGCTGCACAGCTCTGGCCAAGAGGCTGGTCTGTGCCCGAGTCTCTAATCTGGAAAGGGCAGCGCCTAGCAGCCCTCACCTCATAGACTGGCCACGAAGATCAAATGCTGTATTAGGGACCACTAGGTGCACATGCCTGTGAGCCATTGTAACTACCACTGGGCACAGTATCTACACTGGCCAATCAGGCAGGGGGTGGTAGTCTTCTAGCTGTCCCCAGGCTGGCTGAAATCAGAGCTGGAGTCTGAGCTGGTGTCGGCCTGGGGTGACCTGGTCAGGGCTCCGTTATTATGAAGCATATCACTTCATCACAATTCTCTCTTAAACTTCAGTTTGCTCATCTGAAAAGGGGACGAGCGACACTTTCCTTCAAAACCAGCTGCCCCTGAATTCAGATGAGTTCTGAGTTAAGTAACCAGAGCTTTGGACACCATGAAGCATCAGGGGCCGTTAGGCCAGTACAGGAGCCCACAGGCAGTGAGAGGACTCGTGCTCGGTGTCCCCTGGCCCAGGGCGGCGCTGTTTGTCGAAGCTCCTATTCTCAAAGCCCCTTGTTCACTCGGCCCTGACTTGGACCCTGACGGGAAGCAAGGCTTCCCCAACCTGGGGCCCCTAAGGATTCTGGGCCATCCTAGGCAGTGCCCGCCCCATGCCCAGGGGTTGGCCAGTAAGGCTTGATGTGTCACTGCTCTCTGGAGGCCTCAGCTCCACAGACACAGAGTCACTGGCAGGACACACACACACATATTTGCAGGGCCTTGTGAGGGGTGGGCCCTGGGGAGGGACCAGACCAGGGCTGGGGGATGCTGAGCCAAGCCCTGCAGGGTAAGAAGGCAGTAGTTGGGGGAACACACCAGCCTGAGGGAAGAACACAGTGGAGTGGTCCTGAGGTGGGAAAGAGCAGGCCCGCGGGGCTGGAGGGCAGAGAGCCGAGGCGGGCCGGACTGGTGGGAGAAGAGGCTGCCAGGGGGCTTGGGGACAGGGTCAGGCCTGTTTTCCTCTGACTGAAAGTAGATGAGGGCAAGTTTGTTCTTTTCCCTACCTATTGTGTTTTATTTCTTTCCCCCCCCTTTTTTTCCCCCAGGAGAAACTGCACGGGTTTAACGATGACAGTGAATTTAACCTGGTCTATGAAAATCTCTAGGACGAGCTCCCCGTGCCCCTAGA